CTTATAAGCTGTTATGTCGTGTATCACTAAGTTCTTATTCCACTTCCGTTCTCGTTGGTGTCCATTTATGAGCTACCTGCTCATATGCAAATTATACTAATTTGCATATCACTACATCTCCCTATAACGGAGGGGCCTTATGCCGCGAGTACTTGTACTTCTTGTGCCCTCCCGAACATCTTCCTTTATCCCTCTCCTTTCCCTTGGAGATCTAGATCTATCACGTCTTTCCCTATAATCAAATTGTTCCTCTTGCATACTCTGGTCTTCCTCTTCTAATTCATCCCTCTCTACTTCTTCCTGCGCAGTTTCATTCTGCATTAACTCTTCTGATACATCAATAATGGGCATCTCTGAAGGCATTTCCTCATCAGATTCTTCTCCTTGGGATCTTATTTGGTCAGCATGAGCTAGAACACTGTTCCCATTTTCTTTATTTAATATTGCAGTATTATGTCCTTTCTGCATAATAAATTCGGCTGACTCTGGTTGCATATTCCTATTTCTTTTGTACCACATCTTTTGATTTGTGGCATATGACATAGTCAAAGGGGACCTTAATTGTCTGCCCATTAAGGCAGATGGACTTTCCGGCCTGCCTGCATGTGGAATTGTTCTGTAACTTAATAGTAATCTTGGTAGGAAAGCATCGATTTCCTCCTTCTGTTGCAAGCATGCTTTTTATGCCCTTCTTTACCGTCTGGACCATCCTTTCCGCTGCCCCATTACTTTGAGGGTGGTAGGGAGGGGTCTTGTAAGGTCTGCATCCTATTTTTCTTAGCCATTCATGCAAATCAGCATCCACAAATTCTGGTGCGTTATCAGTCACCAATGTTCTCGGTGTCCCATTCCTCGAAAATATTACTCTTAATATTTGTTTTACGGTGGTACTTTTTTATCAGGTACTCTCACCACTTCAGGCCAACCTGAATATGCGTCTACTAATATTAATAATAGTCCTATCCCATTGACATAGGCATGGTCCATGTGTACTCTGCTCCATGGTTCTACTTCTCGGGGCCATACATGTATTTTCTTTTGCTTAAAATTCCTGAGTTCTGTGCATTTTTTTTGCATCTTTTACGTAGTCTTCTACGTCTCTTGAGTACCCCGCCACCAGGCTTCCAATTTTAATCTTCTTTGCGTAGCTGCCACTCCACAATGTACGTCATCGTGTACACTTTTTATAACCCGTCTCCTCTGTGTTTCTGGGGGAACTACCAAGTCTCCATTACATATTATCCAGTTTTCTATAGTCATTTTATGTCTGATTTCTTTGAATGGTCTTTTCAGCCATTGAACAATTTCCCCCAGCGATTCTGTTTTATCCTCGACATTATTCTATTTAACACTGGGTCATTTGTAGTTTCAGTAGCCATTTTATCTACAGATATTACATCGGTTTCTACAAGGTGCAAGAATGTGTCTTCAAATTCCTCGTCGTTTTTGTCCTCCTCTCTATAAAACCTCAATCTAGATAAGGCATCAACGTGCGGTATCGTATTCCCTTTAACATATTCAATGTCAAAGTCGAACGCCATCAGTCTAATTGCCCAACGTAATATTCTGGACGTTGTAACTTTCGGTAGCTCTTTTCTTGGGTTGAAAATAAATTCCAGTGGTCTATGATCACTTTTCAACAAGAATTTTTCCCCATCAAAAACTGTCTTGCTCTATGCGTTGTCCACACTATGGCTAGTGCCTCCCTTTCTATATTCGAATAATTGTGTTCAGTTGTTGTTAATCTCCTTGATAAATACATTATGGGATGCCCATCTTGTGACAAAATACCAGATATGGACTGCTCACTAGCGTCAGTAGTTAGAGTTATGTCCTTCTTAGGGTCAAAATTTGTACTATTGGCTTTTTTGCCAGAATCTGTTTTAAGTTTTCAAAGGCTTTCTGTTGGTGTTCTAACCAAATGAATTCCACATTTTTTTTTTCTTAACTTAGCAAATGGCTCTGTCAACTCATTATATTTTGGTACATATTTTCTATAAAAATTTACCAAACCTAAGAAGGACTCCAATTCTTTTTTATTTTTTGGTGTAGCAACTTTTAGAATTTTCTCTATTAGTACTTTATCTGGAGAGATCCCTTCCTTTGATATTGAGTAACCCAAAAATGATATTTCATTACTGTTGGTTACACACTTTTTTGTATTTATTGTCATACCAGCGTCTCTCAGCCGGTTCAGTATATTTTCAGTTTTTTTTTTTTAAATCATCTTCATTTAAATCTCCAACACATATATCGTCTTGATAACAGATGGTATTTTCAACATTTCCTATTACTTTTTCAATAGCTTTTTGAAAATTGCACTTGTTGTTTTTATGCCATACGGCATTCTTTTCCACCTTAACAGGCCTATAGGTGTGTTTATAGTCGTCACTTCTTTAAAATTTTCATTTATCGGTATTTGGTGGTAAGCTGATTTTAGGTCTATCTTCGAAAATACTTTCATTCCAGCAAGCTTATGTAAAGCTACTTCCACATTTGGAATAGGGTACGAGTCAGCACAAACTTTATGGTTCACCCTATTTTATAATCTCCACAAATTCTCAGGTCACCATCTTTTTTTTTTTCAATACCACGATGGTGATGCTCATTTACTTCCTCCTGGAGGGGCAGGTTCTAATAAGTCTTCCTTTATTAGCTTTCGCAATTTAGCTATTACCAATGGTAATAAATGCACTGGTATTTTTCTCGCTTCGTAGTAGGAGGGGGAAACATCTTTTAATTTCAGGCTAGCTTCATAGTTTTTTAATTTTCCTGTTTTTTCTATTTCTATCTCATTAATCAACTTCGTTGAATTTATTTTTTAACACGTCATTCCCCAGTAGTCCATGCGTTTTTCGGCAATTAGTAACTATAATGGGTACTATTTCATATTTTTCTTTTAATTCTATTGAACCTTCAAAGTAACCCATAATTGCTATAATCGAGCCATCAAACTGACGTAGTTGTACATTGGTTTTTTTAAAACGGTTTTCCCATTTTTCCCCACAAATTTCTGGGTACTATCGTGACGTCACTACCTGTGTCGATTTGCATTTCGACAATACAGTCGTTGATTTTCACTTTTATTTTTGTATCTCCGTTCTTAGATCCAGTATTTTGTATATTATCCTTTTTTACATTAAAAATCTGTCTATTTTCATCCTCTACTTTTCCACATTTTTCGTTTTACATACTTCTTTTGAAGTGATTTTTTTTAAACACTTTGAACACGTCTTTCCAAAGGCTGGGCATTTTTCTTTTTCATTTCATGAATTTTTCCACAGTACGCACAATTTTTTTTCTTTTTGTTTGTACCGTATATGTTTCAGCCATTGTTTCTTCGTAGGATTTATTTTTATTTTGGTTGTAGGTATGTATTAATTCCTGCTGTTGTATAAATTCTATACACATATTCAAAGGCATGTTTGTAAGTTGTAACTGTTCCATTAACTTATATCTATGTGCCGAATTATGCATACCTTCAATTAATCTTAGTTGGATTAATTCTTCTTCCGTTGTCTGCTCGCCTGTTCCTAGTTTTCGAATTCACAGTATTTACTCGCACTTCTTAACCGGTGTAAATATTTTACTATCGGTTCATCCACTTCCTGCTTCATTGCCATAAACTTGGTCCTTTCTGCAATCACCAGTCTTTTCTTTGGCCTCATGTTTCCCTTTAATAACCTGACTTATTTCTTCGAAAGTCATTTCTTCTAGTTCTCGAGGGTAAACCATTGTAGCAACCTTCATAATCGCTTCACAACCAGCGGTAGCCATGAACAAGTCGGTGATTTCATTTTCCCCTCCTCTGTTTTTGTTGTTTTTCAACTTTTTACATCTAGCATTAGCAGCAAAGCAACGAATCCACGTGTCTACGTACTCTGGGTCTTCAAGGACCAAAGAGTATCCTATCGGCGACGCCATTGTTATGTCGTGTATCACTAAGTTCTTATTCCACTTCCGTTCTCGTTGGTGTCCATTTATGAGCTACCTGCTCATATGCAAATTATACTAATTTGCATATCACTACATACTTTTCGGGGTAACAAGTATTTGTGGATTCTAACTATTCGCGGCCGGTTTTGGTCCGTAACCCCCGCGAATAAGGGGACTCACTGTATTGTCAATCTTAGTTGGGTCCCGGGTACATACTGGCCGCCTCAGACAGGAATCTGTGAATGCGCTCTCAGTATGGTGAGGGATTGGCTCCAGGAACAGAAATCTGGCAGGCGGCGAGGTTGTATCCGAGACCCAAGTAAGATTGGCATTTTTGGCAATACGATAGCCTTTCTTCAGTTTTTATTTTTATTTTTTGTAATAATCAGGGTTTTTTTGGGGTTTTTTTTTTTTACACAAGGAATGATTGTATTTTGATATTTTTCTTTTTATTTCGTTTAAAAATGAGATAAGAAGAAAAAGATGAAGAAGTAAAAGATAATGTCACTATGAAAAAACATGAAAGAGAAAAATAAAACTTTTTTGTATAAGAATAAAAATAATTAAGTTTATGAGTTTTTAAGTCGTAGTTTAAGGCCAGATCACGTTGAAAAGGTTTAAGTATTTTTAAACATTCTAATTAAATTAATTATTTTAAAATAATTTTCGAAAAATTCTAAAAGAGAAAAACTAAGATTTCAGAATATGGCAGAAGATCTCTGAATCAACATTTAAATGACATAAGTAAGGTTAAAAAGAAAAAAAAAGACAACGGACATGACGAGAAAAAGTTGGGAGATTTTTTTCATGTTGGTGAGGGAGGAAGATTGTTTTTTTTATATTTTTTCTTTTTATTTCATTTAAAAAGAAAAAGATTAAGTGAAATATAATTTCACTTGAAGAAACATTGAAGAGAAAAAAAAAACTTCCGTATAAAAATAAAATTAAAAATGATTATTGATGAATAGTTCATAAGTCAAGCTCAAGATCATGTTGAAAAATTTTAAGTTTTTTTTTTTTTTTTTTTTTAAATAATGATCAACTGAAAGAACCGACTTCACTTAAGGCCATATCACGCTGAATACAGCGGTTTTCGTCCGATCACCGAAGTTACCGAAGTTAAGCAACGTCAACCCTGTTCAGTACTTGGATGGGTAACCGCTTGGGAATACCAGGTGCTGTAAGCTTTTTTCCCCTTTTAGACATTTTCTTTCATATTTTAAATTTTCTTTAAAATAATTTCCACGTAGTTTTCTAATATAAAGTTGCCTATTCAGCCGTAAAAAAAATAATTGATTTGTTTAAATCGGAATTCATTGACTTTTCTTTTCTTTTTTTTTTTTTTTTTTTGAATATTTTAAAACGGCGTAGCAAGTTTTTGTTTTTATTTCTGTAAAAAAAAAAAACAAAAAACAAAAAAACATCCATTTTCGTGATGCCAACTTATTGAAGATCTTTTTATACCCTCCGCTAAAAAGGCGGAAAATTTAAGTCCAATAACTAAAAGTCAGGTATTGATTTGGTTTGACACTAAACTTTTTTATAAATCGATAAACAAATCAATATTTTTAGATTAAAAATGCCGCAGCCCAAGGAAGGTCAATTGATCGGCAAAATATTTACTCATAATTTTTTTTCCATATCTTTATTTTAGTGAGTGGACCTGTCTGGTAAAAGTTAAAAAGTAATAATGCTATTGTTATTTTCATTAATTATTTCAAATAAATAAATAATAAATAGATCGTGTGCTCCTGATAATAAAAACACTTTGACTTACTTTTCGTTGCATTTTTTTGACACTTTCACTTTTATTAATTTATTTAGGACTTTATTTCTCGCAGCTGTGATAATTTGGACCGCTAAAAAACTCAACAGTCAACAATATTAAAAACATCGCTGGTATTTTTCAATTTCAAAAAAAAAAATCCCAAAATATTTGCACTTTTAATATTGATTCATTTTTTTATATCTATGAAGAATAATAAAAATACACCTCCACACAAAAAAGAAAAATGCTTACAGCACCTGGTATTCCCAGGCGGTCACCCATCCAAGTACTGACCAGGCTCGACGTTGCTTAACTTCGGTGATCGGACGAGAACCGGTGTGTTCAGCGTGATATGGCCGTAAACGATATATCTCCTCAGTCTTAGCTTAATCTTCTTACTTTTAATTTTTTCTTTGAGGAATTATGATGTGTTTTTTGTTTTTTTTTTATCTTTTCTACTTTTTAAAATTCGGAGCCATTTTTATTTCTAACCTTTTTTTTCACTTTTTTAAGGCAAGTAAAAACTCGCCATTCACTTGCCATAAAAAAAAAATAAACTCAATCAAATCATCTTCTTCCCCCATCACGAATCACCCGACATCAGGCGACCATCCACGTCTTATTTTTTTTTTTTTTCGCTTCTCGTTACTTTTTTTTTTTCGCTTTTTAACAACTTTCCCCGAGTCCTTCATATTTTTTCCAGAATAAATTAATTTTTTTTTTTCCAAAATCACTTGTGTGTTCGCAGGGGCTGAGCGTTCCGTTACGGTTACTCAATACGAAATTTTCTCACTTACGGATTACCTATCGCGCAACAATTCACACAATAATACTCAGACAACAATTTATAGCTTTTTTTTTTTTTTTTTTTTTAACAATTATTTTTATCATTTTTTGTCGTGATGGTGTGCACTAATCGGATGTGTTATTTGCATCCATTATTTTATAATAAAAAAAAACTATAATAGACAAAGAATAGCAAAAAAGCATGCCAATTCAGAAACAAAATTTCCTCAGGCCTCAACTTTCAGAAGCAACCTTCCACAAACTACAAAACAAAATTATTTAATTCATTCTTCTGACATTAATCATTTTTCTTTTTCAAATTCAATTTCGTTCTCAGTCGCTTTTAATTTGTCTCTCAAAATTAATTTTCACAGTAAAAGATTCAAAAAATTACCTCCTTTCAAAATAGGAAATTATTTATCTTAATAAATCATTAGTAAAAAGCGTAGATTTTGTTGTGTGATAGGCCATCCATAAGTTAAGGCTTTTTACCAGGAAAGGATAATATAATATTCGGAACTAAACCGCTATCCGGACTTTTAGTGTTGCGGGTTGTATGTTGGCTCGCAAACAGATATCGAATGACGGAAAACAACAAACAAAACGAAGACTTGATTAAAAACATATTGCATATATTTATTAAAAAATAATGTTAGTGTGAACTCGGCAAAAGATAACTCCGCAAGCAGGGACAGTTTTTTTCTTATTGCATATCGTTGGCAAGGATGGTTGGAGCGGCAGGATCTGGTGGCTTAATGGAAGAGACCGGGGTTGCCAGCTTTATTTAAAGCCAGATTATTAAAGCCAAATTAAAATATTTCTATAAAGCCAGAAAAAAAGAAATAAATATGAGATTTTCTTTATTTTTTTAATCACAATGGGATCTGGCATTTTATAACGAAACCACTTATTTATTTCAGTTTGTTAATATTTTAGCTGGAAATTTAAATTTATTTAGGTAAAAATATAGTCAAACAAAAAAACAAGTCTGTTTTACTTTTACTGGAATTTTTTTTTTTTTTTAGAATTTTAATAATATAATTATAAACATTTTTAGATAAATTTCATGAAATTTAAAAAAATTTAATTGTAAAGTTTTTTGGGTATTTTTTAAAACCTGAATTTAAATCTAATGAAAGAGAAAGAATAATAACCGTTTTATTAATTATTCATTTTTTTTTTTTTTTTTAGTATGTGTATCCGTAAGACTTTTTTTCATTTAAATATAACTTATGAAAGAAACATCGGAAGAGAGGGTCAAGCGTGTGAAAGACCATGAAAAAACGGTCACGATGATAGAGAATTATGAAAAAGAAAATTCTTCCTTTTGAATTAGTAGCTACTTAATTTGGCATAAGTTTGCAAAGAATCGGTATTTTTTTTTTACAGTTAAATTTCTGGGAATCCTTCTCCTTGATGAAAAAAGTGCCCAAATCTCCCATAATTCAGGCGCATCATAGGATAAAAAAGAAAAGATTGTAGCATAGCAGCTGTAATATATTGTTTATTATATATTTTATTATGTAAATAAATAAAAAAAAAACCAAAGCAATTCTCTGGTACCAAACCAACATGAAAAAAGCCAGATTTCAGAAATTTTGCTTCTAAAACGCCAATCTAGCAACTCTGGGAGCGACAGCCGGTGGCAAGCTGGAGATGACGGTGACTGGCTAGCTGGAACTGCTGTTGATGGTTGGGGTCACGGACCGGCTGCTGCTGGAAAAAATACTACACTTTGATTCTCTTCATCTGGGCAGCGAAACACAGCTATTACCCATGTCTTCTCACCAAGACGGGATGCGACACAAGGTCAGTTATTTAACGTGGGGAACCCGAGTGCGTACATTCGGGTCATTGGCCAAAAACTCAAAATTTACCCAGCCCCAAGCATAAAGCTTTTCTTAGCTGGTCATGTCACAATTTCTGAAAACGTTAGGTTATCCTCCAGGGTGTAATTAAATTCTGGAATTAAATTTGAAACGGAATCAGTTAGACTTGACTTTTGTCTCTTTCGTTTAAGAAGGCTTCCAAAACCTGTATCCGGCGTTGGAAAAGTAGCTGTAGTGTAACTCCTCCGTTTTGGTACAAGAAAAAAAAAGCTATTTATTTCACATTTCCACAATTGTCTCGCCCCCACTGTTGTAATGTGTCTATTACTTTTAGTTGAGTTCAGTCACTCTCAAAGCAAGTCCAGCTGCAGATTACTGCTCTAACTGTGTTGTCTCAGACGACCGCTAAATACGGCAGTCTACGAGCTATTACTGATTTTTTTTTTACAGTAATTGTGGCTCAAGACCGAAAAGGGGGGAGTTGGATTAAGGCTGGTCAACACAAGCTATCCTATAGCTAGCTGATCAGATTCACGCCCCATTCTTTCATTATAATTTATCAATTCACCACAAAAACTCGTCTCTTGTCATTCACTACTGCATATACCACAAGTTCACGGGAAACCTACAATACACCCCAGTGCATAAACATTTCGATATGTACAATTGTGAAAGGTGATTTTCTAAGTGTAGCTTAGATGTGGCACAAGGCCGAACGTATGGGGCACCCAGTGAGGATCGAACTCGCTACTCAGTTGCAACTGTTCAAGTGAGACAACCTTGCTAACCATTACACTACGTCGAGATGCCCTACGGATTTTGCTGTCTCGGTATTTAACCAAAGTCTTCTCCCGCAAGACTTTAACCTGGTGCAATTTCGAGTCGGTAGGCCCGGGCAAAAATTGCGCGTATACCCCATATAAACGGGGTCGGGTAGCTGTCTACCTCCCCAAACGAGAGACTGTCCTTCGGCATAGCCTCGTCTGGAGGCAGAGAGGTCGACAGAGAACCAGCAAACACAGAGGTTTTGCTGTCTCAGTATTTACCAGACCTTCCCACAAGGCAGGATGTAGCACAAGGCCAGTTTTTATGTGGGCCAATTCTGAGCCTGTAGGCTCGGGCAAAAATTACCCGTAGACTGCGTATATATGGGGTCGGGTTTGTCTATCTCCCTAGACGAGACTTTGCCCTTTGGCATAGCGTCATCTGGGTTCCTCTCTGCCCGGAGTCAGAGAGGTCCACAAGCGGGATTTATTGCATAAAATATATAATTGTGGCACAAGACGGAAAAAGGGGGAGGTAGACTCAGGCTGGTCATCACTGCGATCCTGTACCAAGCTAACTCAATTCGCAACCCATTCACTCCTTACAATATAACACATTCATCAAAAGAACTTGTCCGTCATCAATCAGTCCTCCATTCACCATAATACCTCATACACTCAGGCGACCTACAAAAACGCACCCCATGACATGAAAATTTGAAAATTTAATGTTTTTTTTTCTTTTTCTTTTTAATTTTTTATACATAAAAATTTACGAATGATGAGAGGTGGAGAGACGATCCCAAAAAACAAAACTCAAATATAAAACAAACAAAAGAAACAAACCTGATGTTAGTTGGACCCATCCACCACTCAAAAAAAAAAAGAAAAAAAAAAAGAGGCCGCTGTATTCTACCTTTAGACAAAATGAAGAGGCTCTGTCGCTTAGGGAGAGGGAAGAAAGGATTAAATAAATACGGCCATGGGGAGAGGGAAAATAGTTGATCCGGTCGAGATGAAAAGAGGAGGGGCCAAAAA